GGCCACCAATATACGGCCGGTCGGCATTCTAAAGTGCCGGTCGGCAAAAACTTCCTGCAGAAGCTGGTTTTTGGCAGCAACAGAGGACAGGTAGTGCATGGCATAGAATTTCAAGCACATGTAAGCATGATCATGTTCCCTATCATATATTGAACTCAGGGGAGCATGGTCCTTGATCCTTGGGCCATCAATTGCGCATGATAGCCTAAGGGACCAAACTTGCCATTCGATGTAAAATGCATGCAACACACAAATGAGGACCAAGAACCTATCATGTCAAAGTCAAGGGCCTCGGTGACTGAGGGTTGAGATGTGTTTCATCACTTGTAGTATGAACACCTCTCACCCTCACACTAGGTTTGACACCCCAAACCCAAGCAATGCAATGTATGTTGTGCAAACATGGCTCAAAAATGCAACAACAAGCTAAGATGCTAAACATGTCAAATGTGATGCAATGCAAACTATCATGCAAACAACATGGTAATACCACTAGCATGCAACACTACAAGCAATACTACAATGCACACTAGATAGGGAAGTATGTAAAGAGGTGGGCATGTAACAATGCACAAACCATAAGGATACCACAACATGCAATGTCATGAGCATACTACAAGATGCAAATATATGATCCGTGGACTTACACTAAGATGGAGGACCCTCAGCCACACCCTAAAACAATGGCCAAAAGTGATGGAATGATGGGCAAATACTCATGCAAACTTGCATGCTGAGGAGCATAAGGCTAAGGCATAAAAGAAGCCTTCTACCACAACCATCATAACCACATATGGTATGAATGGAACAACAACAAAAAAAACAGAGTTTTAATGCATTAAAACACACCCCAAAACCCTCATGAATGGCAACCCAAGTGACCTAAACATGCAAGCATGCACAATGCCCATTTCAAGGCACAAAACTACAACACCTCAAGGCATAAAAGGATGATGAATGCTGTCATACAAGCATGATATAGGGACTGAAATAGCATAAGAAGTGACTCCAAATCATGTAAACAACCTAACCAAAGCATGCTAATGACTCATTCGCGTAAGGCCAAAATTCTAGAATGCAAAGGAGCTATGTAAAACACGACAAACATGACAAAAACAGTGGCCAACAGACCTAAAGCATGACAAATCATGACCAAAAACTTCAATAAGCTAAGCCAAATCATGAAGACATACTAGGCTAAACACATGGCACATTTCTAGGCAAGATAAGGAATTACAAAGCAAGTAGAAGATGCATGCTAAGGGCTACAAATCCGACCAAAGACAGAGATATAACATGACTAATAGGCACCCAAAAACCTCTGAGATGGGACCAAAAACGACCAAGCATGCATGTTGCCCTTTTAAGCCAAAACAAAGGTAAAAGAAGGACAAAGGGGAGAGGGGTGTCCCTCCCCTACTCAAGACTTCAAAATCACTCCATCACCACTAGAAATCCACTGGATTTCAGTGGTGAGAAGACCAACACAACAAAGTAAACAAAGCTTAAAGAAAAGGGCACCAAAATAGGCCAAAAGAGGCCTAAGGGGAGGAGTTCGACCCCCAATGCCAAAACGCCCTTAATGAAAGATGTTAAGCACGAAAATACAAGACTTTTTCATGTTATACACAAAGCTTAAATCGGCATGCAAGATAGGTAAAAACTAGTGCAAGATTGGGGAAACTAAAGCAAGTGTCTCACCCTCGAAGAAACCTTGACGAACAGATGATCCAGCCACTCTCTATTGATCAAAATCAGTCGAAAACCTCAACAAACAACCCTCAATGCCTCTCAATCTCGTAGCAAGGTGTAATGGTGTGTGTGTTAGTGCAAAAGTAAGGTCAAAATGCACTTTTAGGCTTCCAAACACACCCTAAGGATGAGAGAGAGGGAGATATAGAGAGAGAGGATAATATATCAGATGCATAGATATAGAAGCTCTGGTTTTTTATTCAAAAGCTCTAACCTCTAACAAAGGGAGAGGATGAGTGCTTATATAGGCAAAGGCCAAGGTTCTAGGCTTCTCCAAGAAGCTAGATGAAAGGGGCAAAGGGTGCAAAAGGGTTCTTGGCTTCTTAGAGAAGCTAATACAGCTGGCCAAGCTTCCCCAAGAAGCTTGGCCAAAGGGTTCAAGCTTCTAGAAGGAAAGAGGGTTCAAAGGTTCACACCAGCCAAAAATTGCACGGGGAAGAGTGATGGTGCATTCCAGCTGGCACAGCTGGCATGCACCATGCCTCAAGGGTGCAAAGGAGTCACACCGGCCAGAAAAAGAGGTCGCCGGCAAAATAAAGTGTCGGCCGGCCAAATATAGTGCCGACCGGCCATTAGTTTTAAGAAACCATGGCCGGTGGCACCCATAAACAGCCGGTGATGCTAGGGGAAGGCCGGTGGAATGTGGGGATGGCCAACAAGCCATTCCCCGCCCTTCAAGGCAAAAACCCAAGTGTTTGGTGCCAAAACCAAACACGAAGCAGTCGAGTCGAGAGATCCTGAGGCAAGGCGCGCAGCCAAGACTTTCGGGAACTCAAGACTAAACACAAAAAAAGAGGATCACCGAGTGTTCCAAAGGTGACGTCCAAGTCTTGAGGACGGTCAAAAATGGGGTGTCTACAGTTGCCCCTCTTTGACAGAACTCGAAAGTCATAACAATGACGGGAGTGAATGCCAAAGCCCAGAGATGACCCATTTTTGACAAGGCCGAAGACTCAGACAAACATGCAAGACAAACAAGATATGCGCCCGAAGGCAGGGGCAAAATGCAAGACAATGCACAGAGCCGGACATAACTTATGATCATGCAAAGAAAGCTGTAATGAAGCACACATGCGACAGTTTCAAGCTAGCACAGACCAAACTACACTACAATGCAGAGAGGATGTAAGAGAATTATGCAATTCTCGATACGTCTCACTCGGAGTATACCATACCTGTCCGGTTCGTCTGGTTGCACCAGCCTTAAATGAACCGTACATACAATATCGTGCCCGCAAAGAAAACAAACTTAACAGGTACAATGTGATTAACAATATGCACATTAATGTACTTGAAAATGCGTGACAACGCAAAGCAAGTGGGAAGCATAACAATGCTGTGAAGGCACAGACATGTAAGTGGAGCACACGGTCTACGCAGGCAACGAAATTGATCATAAGCATGCGGTCTACGCAAGCAATGAAATTCATCATAAACATGCGGTCTATGCAAGCAGAACATGCGGTCTACGCAAGTAATGGAATTGATTACAAACATGCGGTCTACGCAAGCAAAACATGCGGTCTACGCAAGTAATGAATTTGAACAAACATGCGGTCTACGAAAGCAAAACATGCGGTCTACGCAAGTAGTGAAATTGAACAAACATGCGGTCTATGCAAGTAATGAATTTGAACAAACATGCGGTCTACGCAAGTAATGGAATCGGTTACAAACATGCGGTCCACGCAAGTAATGAAATTGACTATAGACATGCGGTCTACGCAAGTAATGGAATTGATTATAAACATGCGGTCTACGCAAGCAAAACATGCGGTCTACGCAAGTAATGAATTTAAACAAACATGCGGTCTATGCAAGCAAAACATGCGGTCTACGCAACTAATGAATTTAAACAAACATGCGGTCTACGCAAGCAAAACATGTGGTCTACGCAAGTAGCGAAATTGAACAAACATGCGGTCTACGCAAGTAATGAAGTTGAACAAACATGCGGTCTACACAAGCAAAACATGCGGTCTACGCAAGTAGTGAAATTGAACAAACATGCGGTCTACGCAAGTAATGAATTTGAACAAACATGGGGTCTACGCAAGGAAAACATGCGGTCTACGCAAATAGTGTGTATGAGAAGAGTTGAATGTACACATGTAAGTAAAAACATGTTATTCACGATGCTGGAATGTAAAGTACTGTAACACATCATAATCGAAACGATTTGGGGAAATCCTCAAGACATGAAAAGGATACGGGAAGGGACGTTCTTCGTACGTATCGAGCATCGCTCGCAGAAGTTGTGGCCTAAGGTCAACTTGAAGGTCCACGTTTCCAAAGCGCGCTTTCCCGCATTGTCTCGAGTGATGAAGGTGCCAAACCATGTAGTTGACCCGAACAAAGGCGTGGAAGGTGCGTTGACTGCAAGGGGAGTTTTGCTGGTATCAATTCCGACACTTTGCTACCCTGCCATTCTATGTTTTACTTTCCTTTTTTACCGGTAGTTTAAGCACATTGCACTACCTCGGGCAGGTTTTATTCTTTCTCAAAATTACATATTTTGCAAAACACGTGATGGGAATGAAACAACCATTTTGTTCAGAAGATGTTGCATTTGTAAATTTTCTATGCATCGCATCGCAAGGTATCACACCACAATGTGAACGAAATTGAACCTGTTTTGAATATTGAGTACTTGCATCGTAATAATCAGGTAGTGAACCGACTTACAACTCGATAAGCAAAGCAAAGGCATGATATAACCAATCAAGTGTGAGCACAACTCGATAAACAAATCAAAGACTTAAGGAGAGTGAAGTACAACTCGATAAGCAAATGTACAATAACTTGATAAGCAGATAGGTGTGACTCCGCAAGAATCGATCACCGGGGGGATTGGAGGTGGTGGAGTTCCCCAATCCTTAGCATAAACAACTCAGGGAACAAGGAGGAAGCCCATCGGCCAGGGGTAGAGACCATCGACCACAAGAAATTGCCATCGGCCAGAAATTTGTTCGGTCGGAAAAACGTAATGGCCGGTCGGCAGAATATTTGGCCGGTCAGCCATGAAGGAAGGAATCAGCAGAATGTTGACACCTGTCCTCCACCCAACCTTATCTCCTACAAAAGACCTCAGCTTCGTAGTTTTTCTCAATTCCACACTGATTTGCTCTAATGGAAGAGTTTCTTCCTCAAAATCTCACAGCTTGGATTGCTAGCTTGGATGGCTCGGAAAAGTTGAATTTCTGGGGTTTCGGCATAAACGCACTATTCACTCTGGGTCGTACCCCATTGCACCTTCCGTTTCTCCATGCTGCGGCAAGGTTTTGGAATCTGGTGCCGCATGTCTTTACCTTCGCTGGGCAAGAGATATGTCCTACCTTTGAAGATTTTCGTGCCTTAATGGAGTTCGAGCGCGACGAGGAGCTCCTGCCCCAACTTAATTTTGGCCATGCCCAATCCTTAGGGCGAATGTGTGGACTCAGTATGCGTGACGCTCGGTCTCTGATTTGTGACGGAATGCTGGATATTCCGAGTTTGATCAATCGGTTTTCTGATGCCGGTGATCGCAACAACCATCGTTGGCAAGGCTTTCGGCGACACGCCCTCTGTTTGTGCATGCTGTCTCATTTCCTATTTGTCTCAGGCTCCGGAGGGTCTAGTGTCCGGCTGACCGAGGTCGCCCAAGGCTTAAAGCAGGGCAAGAGCTGTGTTGCCATGATTCTGGCTGAGACGTTGATGGGCTTGGATGCCTTTCATCGTCATGAGACGACCAGATTAGCAGGGAGTCCACTACTACTACAGGTACTGTTTCCCACCCAATCTCACATATGTATTGCTTACATCACTCGGCCCTCACGCTCGGTTTTTCTCGCAAAAACCCCATCCTGACTTTTCTCTCATCGTACATCTCTCTATTCTTTATTCTCTCATTTTTCATCCCTTCCCAGGTATGGTTGATGGACAAACTGCAGGTTGTGGACTCTTGCCCAGCACATTCAGCTCGCGGCTACTTCTTCCCACACCGTCTAGTCAATGCCCTTGATGAGGGATGGTGGTTCGCTTGGATATGCCGCTTGTCCGCAGACCGTATTGCTTGGCGGTGCCCTTGGCTCTGCCTTCCGGCAATGAGTTACAACATGTCTCAGTAGACTGGGATTGAATTGATTGGTCTCACTCACTGTGTATTCTACTTCCCCTTCTGGACTCGACGCCAATTTGGCCATGATCAGACCTGCCCGCCAGAGGGGATAGAGTATCCTGCTGCATTCCCAGCCTGAGGCGCACAGCTTGCTCGGCAGGCCACCGCGTGGAGGACAAGAGAACTCCTGGCCCCCGCTCCCACTTTCAATTGCGCTTTATCTGATGAGTGCTTGGATTGGCTTAATGAGGAGGCACAGGTCGGGGCCAGCTTTGTATCAGAGGCTTCGACCAGCTCTGGGAGGGGGTGCAGGAGCACCTGACTTGACTATGTCCCAGATTTATTACTTTATTAGAACTTTCAAGTTTTCTTTATGAATGTAATAAAAAGCAACTTCGATTGTATGCAAGAGCAGGAGAACTCTGTTTTGAAATCAATGAAATTGAAGGTTGTGGCACTGAAAATTTTCCGCTTTGGTCCAAAAATGGTCTTAGCTGTAAAAGGACTAATTTGAACAAAGTCAACTTTTATTAAAACTTTTCAAAACGATTTTCGATATGGATCAGAACTAGACACGCCTGGAATTTGTCACTGAGATGCACAACCCCGAATTCTAGCAACTGGAAAGTTGCCCCTAGCCTGAATAGTACCGCGGCACTGCACAGCAACGGAAAGTTGCCCCTAGTCTGAAAAGCACTGCACCGGAGATCATATCCGAACTCTTGGGTGCTGAAATAGACAAAGATGGCTCAAGAGGATTAAATGGACAAAGTTGATCGAGCGAGGAAAAAGGTTATGGCTGAACTTCAGGATGAAGCTGCCTACGTATCCCAAAGATGGGAATCAAGCCTTACGTAGTTCGGCTTAGGTTCACTCGGGTATTTTCACTCTCCTTTTACGCTCTAACTTTTGCCAAGGCCGCCCTTTGCGGGTTTTCAACCTTGCGAGCTCAGTTTTTCTATTTTCTAATTTTCTGTGCTCTAACTTTTGCCTAGGTCGCCCTTTCGGGTTTTCAGCCTAGCAAGCCTCTCAAGGGTAATATTTCTTCAACTTGTCCATGTTGATCGGTTGGGAGAATTCCAGGCCATCTAGGTCCATCAGAACCACAGCTCCACCTGACCAGATAGCTTTGATGATGTAGGGACCAGTCCAATTAGGTCTGAACTTGCCCCTGGGGTCGTGGATGGGAGCTCGGTTGTCTTTGAGCACCAAATCTCCTTCCTTTAGATTCCTGGACTTAACTTTCTTGTCAAAAGCCCGGGCAATTCTGCACTGATAACCTTGAACATGGTACAGTGCTTTGAGTCTTCTCTCATCAAAGAGCATGAGTTCCTCAAACCTGCTCTGCTACCAATCTGCTTCGGCTATTTGACACTCAGCCAATACTCGCAATGACGGAACCTCAACCTCGATAGGTAGAACGGCCTCCATCCCATAAACCAATGAATACGGAGTCGCTCCGGTAGAAGTTCTAATTGAAGTCCTGTAGCCCCACAGAGCAAATGGCAGCTTATCTGGCCAATCCCGGTAGGTTTCCACCATCTTCTGCAGTATATGCTTGATGTTCTTGTTGGCGGCCTCAACTGCTCCATTGGTTTGCGGCCGGTATGTGGACGACTTATGAAAAGCCACGTTATATTTCTCCAACAAGTCAATCACTTCCTTCTTGAAGTGGGAACCGTTATCTGAAATGACCTCGTTTGGGACTCCATAACGGCAGATGATGTTGTTTCTGATGAACTTTGCGACGTTCGACGCCTTCATCACCGCGTATGATTGGGCCTCGACCCACTTTGTGAAATAATCTATCGCGACCAAGATAAACTCATGCCCATTCGACCCTTTTGGAGTAACAGCCCCGATCACATCAATTTCCCAAACTGAAAATGGCCATGGTGAAGTCATGTTGTACAGCTTTGACGGCGGAATATTCATGCGATTCGCATGGATCTGACATTTGTGGCATCGCCGAACAAAGCTGATACAATCCTCCTCCATGGTGGACCCGTAGTAACCCTGTCGGAGGATCTTCCGTGCTAACATTACTCCACTCATGTGTGCACCGCATTCTCCTCCATGGATGGCCTCCATCAGGCGCTTCGATTCTTCGGCTTCGACACACAGCTTGTGCATTCCCAGATGACCTCTCTTATACAGCTTACCCCCACAGATGATGAACTGTATGGCCATTCTTCTAATTGCCCTTTTATCCTTGGCATTTGCCCTGGTGGATACACCTCCTTCTCCAAGAAGTTCCAAATGTCGTAATACCAGGGGTTGTCGTCCTGAGCCTCATCTATGGCGGAAATTGACTCATATGCTGGCGCAAACTTCTGGTCAATAATGACTGGACGCATCCGGACTCCGGACGGGATGTCTATCATGGAAGATAGAGTTGCTAGTGAATCTGCGAACCTGTTGCTCTCTCTTACTAGGTGGGTGAAATTTAGCTTCTCAAACCATGGAATTAACAAATCCAAGGTCTGGTGGTAAATTATCATCTTTTCCTCTTTGACTTTCCATTCTCCTTTTGCTTGAGACACAACAAGGTTCGAGTCCCCAATGACGTCCAACCGTCTTGCCCCTAGTTCTAGGGCTGCTTCTAGGCCGGCAATACATGCCTCATATTCTGCTTCATTGTTAGAGACTTTGAGGGATGGCCTTCTTGCTAAAGGGATACGGGAATCGTCAGGCGCTATCCAGCTATACACTCCTATCCATACCCGTACTGGTTGACGCTCCGTCAAAGTACATGTCCAACGTTTCATCTTCGATGTGACAGAATGGCTTCGTCTGGGAATAGGTACTCAACTTGCTTCATCCCCTTCAACCGGGTGGTCAGCAAGGAACTCCGCTACCGCTCTTCCTTTTACTGACTTGCGTGTCACATACTTCAGATCAAATTCAGAAAGCAACAGCAGCCAATGAGCTAGCCTACCCGTAAGTGTCTGTTTCTCGAAAAGATATTTGATGGGATCCAAGCGTGAAACCAACATTACGGAGTGAGCTAACAGGTAATGCCGCAGCTTCCTGGTAGCCCATACCAAGGCCAAACAAGCCTTCTCCAGCGGAGTGTAGCGGGTCTCGTAATCCAGCATCTTCTTGCTCAGCTAGTAGATGGCCCTTTCCACTTTGTCCTCTGACTCTTGTGCGAGCATGCAACCCATGGTAGTCACAGTTACTGAAAGGTACAATATCAACGATTTTTCCAGCTCTGGCGGTGACAACACGGGCGGGTTCTGTAAATATTCTTTGATCTGTTCAAAAGCTGTTTGACATCGGCCGTCCCATTGGAATTTCTTTCCTTTCTTCAGGAGACCAAAAAGTGGTTCACAAGTCAAGGTTAGTTTTGAGATAAACCGTCTTATGAATTGCACTTTACCTAGAAAGCCTCGCACCTCCTTTTCAGTCATTGGCGGTGGCATTTCTAAGATGGCCTTGATTTTGGAAGGGTCGACTTCGATGCCCCTTTGTGTAATCAGAAACCCTAGCATTTTTCCCGCTGTAACACCGAATGTACACTTCTGAGGATTCAACCGCAGCCGAAACTCTCTGATCCTTTGAAAGAACTTTTGTAAGGCGGTGCAGTGGCCCTTTCTTTCTTTGGACTTGACAATCATGTCATCCACGTACACCTCAACCTCTTTATGGATCATATCATGCAATATTATGGTCGCTACCCGTTGATAAGTAGCTCCAGCATTCTTTAATCCAAACAGCATCACTCTGTAACAGTATGTCCCCCACGGGTGGTGAAAGTAGTCTTCTCCCGGTCTTCGGGGGCCATTACTATCTGATTGTAGCCTGAGAAACCATCCATAAATGAGAGCAAAGCATGCCCGCTGTAAAATCCACCAACTCATCAATATGCGGCAGGGGAAAGTCGTCCTTCGGACTAGCTCTGTTCAAATCCCTGAAATCCACGCATACTCGGATCTTGCCATCTTTCTTCGGCACTGGAACAATGTTGGCCAACCAAGTCGGGTATTCGGATACCAGCAGGAAGCCTGCATCGATTTGCTTGGTGACCTCTTCCTTGATCTTAATGGCCCAATCAGGGCGGATCCTTCTGAGTTTCTGTTTGACAGGTCGGGCCTCGGGATCAAGAGGGATCCGGTGCTGTACAATCTCAGGATCGATTCCAGGCATGTCTTCGTAGGACCAC